GTCGTCTCAAAGCGGCCGGTGAAGGCTGCCCACTCCCTGGCCGTCTTCCCCTTGATAGCATCCACCGCTTGCAGGTCTGCTCCTGGAGACACCGGCACGCAAAGAGCATCACCGCAGCGTCCCACCCCGTCCTAGCCCAGAGCGCAGGGTGAGCAGCGATGCTGCCCCTTCCCAAAAAATCCCAGAAAGTCCCTGGGGAGATGCTCACCGGCCAGGAGCAGGGCGGCCACGCAGTCCTGCTGCCCCTGCACCGCAGCCTTCATCAGCGCCGTCAGGCCCCGGGGGTCCCGCTTGTCCACCTCCAGCGTGGGGTAGTAGTTGAGGAGGTAGTTGACGATGGTGATGTGTCCTTAACAGCCAGAGAGAAGCTGCGTTAGAGTTTCAACAGTTAACGAGCGACAACTGCTGATGCCTGCTGGAGAAAGAGTATTTAGGAATTGCATCTCGTGAGGACAAAGATGCAGAAACTTGGAGGGATCAGGACTGAACGGGTTTGGGTTTATTTTGGTTTGGGTTTGGCCATGCAGGGAACAGCGCTGGCGCACCAGCTGCTTCAGCAGAGAATGCAGGAAAAAGTCCAAAAATGCAAAAAAATCATCAATTCCAGCAAGGATAAAGCGGTAATAAAAGGCGATCCCCACTTTGAGACCTTCTTCCTTCCCCCCACAGGGCAGAGGGAACCGGACTCTTCTGTCATAGCAAGAAAACCCCCACTGTGACCGGAGATCTGGTCCCTACACATGGCATTTGCCAACTCGGACCCTGTGTGCAGGTAAATCACGGCGGCTCACGGGACTTTTCCAGAGCACGTGGAGCGGCTCTGGCTGCTTGATGCGACTGCTCGGGCGGGACACGGTGAAAGAGAACATTGCTGTAGGAATTCCCGTGTTTTGCTTCACCTACCCAGTTTTAAAACGGTGCGAAGATGCACCGTAAACTCGGATGGGGAGGGTCACCTCCCGCAGGACCGTCGGCTTTCCTGACGGCTCGGGTTTGGGTTGTTGGAGGGGGAGCACAGGGAGTCACATCACTTCCAGGGGTCTCGCGGGGGCTGCAGCGTGCCGAGGCCGAGCGCGGTGCCTACCTGCCTGGGCTGCCATCATGAGGGCCGTGTTCCCGTCCTTGTCCTGATGGTTGACGTTTATGTAGGGGCACTTCTGCAGCAGGGGCACGATGTCCACGAAGCCCTTATAGCAGGCGACCATCAGCCCGTTCTGGAGAGGG